TTTGATTCTGTTGCGATTTTTTAATAAAGTTCTCTTTTGGTGAGTGTGTGTGTGAGTGTGTGTATGTGTGTGTATGTGTGTGTGTGTGTGTCTGTGTGTAGGGGTGGGGTGACATAATTATATATGTATAAAGACCTGACTGAACTCCCCAGTAACCAACAAATCGTCTGTCCCTCTAGCGAAGGTCAAGGTCAGGACAGGCGAGAGGCAGCACGTCCGGATGAGCTGTGCCGACCAGCGGTACAGGTTGAACACGTACATCTGGCAACTCTCGGTGCCCACGTAGAAGGTGTTGCCGACGCCTAATTTGGCTGAAAATACACGAAGAGCACAGGGGGAAAACGACTGTAGTCGCAAACTGAAAATTAATTGTGAGGGTGCCAATTTTAAAAGCTGCTAACTCCTAACTTCATATTTGTTTGACTTGTGGTTTATTGTTAAGTGTTTTTGAATGGGGAATCTAACAACAATAATCAACCAACAGCTGAACAGAAATACAGTTATGAGCCAACAAGTGTTCAAAATTGGTAGCCTCACTACTTTCAGGTTGTGATTGCAGTCGTTTTTTACCCTGTCGTCTCCCCATTAGAATCAGGCGCGGTTCGTCCATAGAGTACGTGTGTGCAGTGCTGCCCAATGTTTTTAAATGTTCTTTTACGTAAAGCACCAACAATAGTAAAATACAAGAAGCCAGAAACAAACACAAGCCAAATGTTAGTTATATCAAAACAAGGCCCCCGCTATCATTTCTGTGTATATAGCGCCGTAAAACATCTACTCTATTATGCTAAAGTCCGTGCGCTTTAACTATACATAATAGTAATAGGATACTCGAGAGTGGTAACCTTACCTATAAATCCTTCTTTGGAATAACCCATACGATGACGACACTCGAGGCGAGTTTGGCGGTACATTAATATCAATAAGACGGCACATTTCAAATGTGCTCCTGCCGAATAGTGCCGAAACACAGCTCACAGCTTACAGTAGGCAGTCTAAAAATAAACATGGTAGTCTGTACTCTATTCTATGCCAAAAATTTGTGAGCCCCGGAGCAATCCATCGGAGTGCTCAAGTGAATTGTGATTGGTTCACTGTCTTGCCACTGTTTTAAGTGACTCTGTGATCGTGAATCTGAGGGCGGTGAACGTGAAATATCTAAGTTACAGTCCTGTGAGTTGTGCCTTTAAATGGTTTTGTAGTGGCGTAGTGAAAGTTATTACTTGAGAGTTCAGTTCTAATGCAGGGGGAACGAAATTGATGTTTAGCTAACAAACAAATTTAGTTCTTGGAATCAAGGTGACAAGTGGAAAGAAAGAACATAAACGCACGAGGTCCTCCCTCACCAACCCAAAGATCCTAACATTATAGGCTTACACCGTCTCATTTACTATGCCCTTGACTATTTTTAGTCTGCGATAGCTTAACTTAATTGTGCACGCCAACTGTTTAGCCCTTCGAGCCGCCCCTGACATGCCCCTGAGATAATGTACTGGTTGGCTACTTTATTATTACGAAGTTCTATATGACATTGTTGGCTGTTTTGAGTTACTAAGACCATGAGGTCAGAAACCCAATGTGCTATCTACTTTATCAAAACGGTAAGATTATTCCGAGTCTTTATCAAGATATTCAAAGATTTGCATTCGAAAAAGCTTTACATGTTACTCAAAACTAGGTACGTGAGCAGATAGAACTTTATAATTTTAGGGTAGAGTATTCAACGATGTTAATTCGCACTTCTTTTTAAAAGAAAGGTGAAAAAAAAAGAAGAAAAAAAGACGGAAACAGTAATTGATTTGGATCCACGTATGAAAATGATCATTGGGTCATTATCTTTTTAACGTCATCGTTTATTCTGTTACTAAGTTCTAAAGTTTTTGTTTGGCGGGTGTAGTGGTGTGGTTTGCCCCTTTTTCCTTACCAAACATCTATCATTTTTATCTTTCCCCCTTCGTGTCTCTGTTTACAACTCTCTGGCAACATGTAGGCTACAATCTTCGGCAGTTATATGACCTATTTCGACTGCTCATTGAAAGTATCTGCTATTAGAATATGATTTTTCATCCTCTGTTGCCATTTTAGCCTTAACGGGAGATGCTGTTTTCTATGGTAGGTCAGCTCTGTAACGATTTCAATTGGGATATTATAACTTCCCGGGTTTCTTTGACTCCTTCAATCCATCTTTTGAATGGTCTACCTTTTTCTGAATACTTGATGTTAAAGGCTCTCGAGGCTGGCTAGCTAGGTGACATGCGTAACAGGTGGCTGAACCATTTTGAAACAAAATAATGGATATCCTTTTAAGAAACATAATAAATGAAACTGAAACTCTCACCAACCCTAAATGTGGAGTACGATGGATTATTACTTGTATAAGTCTTACTTTACGTCAAAATGGCGTATAGTAGTTTTACAGTAACCAGTCAATTTATGTTGCAATAAATTCAACTTCCACTAAATTTGATTTATGCTGTAATAAATGAAACTCTCACTAAATCTAAAACAAACAAAAAAGAAGAAAAAAAGGTGCATAGCTGAGTCTTGTGCTAAGCGATTAATTCATGTTGCAAATGAAACTATTCTTAACCTTTAAAAAAAGCAAAAACGACATAGGTCGTGGGATCGAATCCGGACAGCAGCAGACAAACATTGTACTCTAAAGTTTTTATCCTTTCCTGCTCTCTAACTTTGTTCTGCCGTCTGCTTTCTCATCCACTCTCTGTCCCCACCATTCTCACCTCCTCATCCTCTCCTCTTAGCTCCTAACTCTTTCTGTAGCCTTTCTACTGCAACTCCTCGGCTCCTTCATACTGCTCTTTATCAGGTCACACCCTTGTTCTTAAGGTAGGAAAGATCTATACTTATCCTTCTTGGACAAGGATTTAAAAAGCTCTGATGTCCCCTGTGCAAGTTGAGCACGTTAAAGATCCCTTGGTGGTCATAGACTCGATAAAAGTAGGCTTCACCCGCTACCAGGGCAAAATTCAAAATGTCCTACAATCTAAAAAGTTTAATGTGATCTGCCTGCTTATATGACCTTATTAATATGCAGTTGGGACCGCCGCAAAACACAACCTTAAAAAAAATCCCCTAAACAAAAACAAAAACAACAAAACAACAAACAAAACGAAACAAAAACTCACCAATTGAAGTAACAGCGCGCTGCTCCCGCTCATCCGACCAGACGTTCGTGTCTTTGGCCAGCCTGGCAGTGCCCTTGACCTTGTTGCCCTTCTCGTAGGTCAAGGCCACGTCGTAGTTCATGACCTTACCGTTGCCCGTACCCACTAAAAGGTTAAAGGTCGAGGCGTCGAGCATCCGGAGGTAAGTAATGCTCGTAATGCCGGATGGGACGGGTTTTTTTGGCACCTGCAGGATGAAGGCAATTGAAAACTACAACGCAAAACAAACAAACGAACAAACAAATATTGTCTCATTTTAAATTGAAATAAGTACCATGCCCAGCGGACAAGACAGTGTCTGCGTTCCAAAATATTTATTCATATGTCGTTAGAGCGATAAACAAACTCTTGCCCAAAACCATAACAACCAGTTTCTCCCCCCCCCCCTCCCCCAACACACACCTTACCAAAATAAAAACTGAGAGTTTTTTTTCGAAAATACTTATCATTTGATATTCGAGTATTATGTCCCAATTGTGAAGTTACATGTAGAAAAGACGCACAGACACACACTAACTGACGACAGGTATTTACCATATAAAAGCAAAAACACAAATAAACTCACACGCATACACACGCGCGCCCGAACATGCACGCTCACACGCGCGCGCGCGCACACACACACACACACACACACACACACAAGAACACAGACAAAATACACACACGTACATTCACACACACAGTGACGACACACAACTACACAAATAAACACACACACACACACACACACACACACACAAACACACACACACACACTCACATACAAACGCACACACATACAAACACACACACACACTCACACACACAAATATATAAACACACACACACACACACACACACACATACACACACATAGCCCCTCACACAAGCCTGCATTGTCCCGTTAGTCATGTTGACTACTAGGAGGATATCTCCGCCTGTGTTTCCCAAAAACGCCATCTGGTGCTCAGTACTGTCATAGTCGGCCACCTGAAACATAGAGAAACATTTGTGAGGCAGCGTGGTGGAATCAGGCGCTCGTCAAAATAATCAAAATTTTGTTCTTTGGCTCAATACGTTTCCTGCCCATTTAAGAACTCATTTCTGTTTGGATTTTTCTGAAAAGCGTTAATTAAAGGCACAAAAATGTAAATTTTCAGTTACCACGTACTCGGAAGCTAAGGAAATAACAAATCTTTGGCGGCCATTTTCTCACTAATTTTGCCTCTGAAAACAGGTGACCCCCACCTCCTTCTTTCGCAAATATATCGACTTGTATTCAAGATAAATGAATACTTTTTTTTATCCAAATAAAGACAAGTGAATAAACTTTAAGATGATACCAGTAACTCTACATGCCCAAAAATTGACGAGAGCCTGATTCCACCACCCTACCTCACATTTGTAAATTATAGTACCGTCGAACCTGTATAAGACACCCAGTTATTATCGATAAGAAAAGTAGCCGTATTAGACAGGTGGTCGTCTTGCATAGTGTCGTTTTATTGTAAAGGGAGGAAGGGATGGGAAGTGGCCGTTTATACAGGTGATTGTCTTATACAGGTGGCCGGGAAAGTAGCCTGAGTTCAACTGTAGCTTTGGCAACTTGGAAGCACATATGTGTTACTTTTCTCATAAATATACGGCAGCTACAGTGTTGAAAATTGGCAAGTACCTGCAAAAACATAGATAAGTCCCCACGACGGAGCCCGATTTGTGATTTGTTCATTTCCTGAATTTAGACAAATTAACTTGACAAAAAGTTTCCTTTCTTCTTTGGCCTTTGTGATTATTCCACTGAGAAACGAAACAAATCTGCGTAGCCGTCCTTCACAACGGAAGTGCCGGAAGTGATATTTCGCGAGGCACATTTTGTTTTGAGAGTATAGATCTAGACCTTCTAATTCTTTGCATCTCTCAAGATATAACGCTCTATTCTAGTACAATGTACAAATATTAGGCCACTGACTTTCAGCTGATGTTAATGCACTGATCATTCCTTTCATCGAAAGGTTGCCCAGCTAGTTTTAAAATATTTTTGCCTCCCCCCCCCCCCCCACCTCTCATTTTTCCTAACAAAAACGAACACCCCCCACACCCCAGCGCCTTTCCAAAAAAAAAACCCCAAACAAACAAACAAACAAAAAACGAAACAAAAAAAAAAAAAACTGGGCTGTAGTAGAAGCCACACATCATTAATCCACTGTTGAATTTTGCTTAGGAATAATATTCTGCTCCACCGAAGCACTCTTCGTTGTCTTCGTTCCTGTTCTCGTTCTTGTTTTTTGCTCTTGTTCTTTAGACAAATCATACATATTTTGCATTAATAATAATATTATGTGAGGCAGCGTGGTGGAATCAGGCTCTCGTCAAAATAATCTCAAAGTGGAGAAATTTGCATTTTTTCCAGTTAGGTTTGTAAATTTTTATCAATTTTTTTTTTGGCTCAACACCTTTCATGCCCATTAAAGAACTCATTTCTGTGTGGATGTTTCTGAAAAACGTTGATTAAAGGAACCAAAAAATTTAAATTTTCAGTTACCACGGACTCTTAAGCTTAGGAAATAACTAATCTTTAGCAGCCATTTTCTCACTTATTTTACCTCTGAAAACAAGTGACCCCACCTCCTTCTTTCGCAAATATCTCGACCTGTATTCAAGATAAGTATATGGATATTATTTTCATGCTAATAAAGAAAAGTGAACAAGGTTTAAGTTGATACCAATAACTCTACATGCCCAAATATTGACGAGAGCCTGATTCCACCATGATGCTTCACATGATTATAGTATCCTGAGCGAAATAAGTCTTTTTCTCCATTAATTTTTGTGGTATTTACTTGTTTGTCTCCGCCCCCCTCCCCCTCCTCACCTCACCCCCATCCAGTTTTGTTTTTTGTTTTGTTTCAATCCTAAAAATCTCGTATCCTGGTAGGCCTATAGGACAATGATGAAGGAAGGAGGGCGATGATTTAGGCCTACAATAAAAGGGTTCAGAACGTTACCTCCACACAGGTGACGTCACGACCTAAGGGCCCGAAGCGGAGCTCCGTAAAGGCGAGTTCCCTCCCTTCGCTAGACAAAGTCCACAGCCGCCCGTGTCCTCTGCCAGCTGGAAGGGAAATCATCATAGTTGTACAGCAACGTTGTTGCTATTGTTGTTGTTGTTGTTGTTGTTGGTGGTGGTGGTGGTGGTGGTGGGGGTGATGTTGTTGTTATTGTTGTTGTTGTTGTTGTTTTATTATAATTATTATTATAATTATTATTATTATTATTTTTATTTTTATTATTATTATTAGTATTATTATTATTATTATAGTTATTATCACTATTTCTATTTATTATGATGATGGTTATTATTATCATTATAATTTTTGTCTTATTATTATTATCATCATCCTTATTATTATTCAAATGCTGACCTGTGATAAACTTGTCCCCGTTTCTCTTGGAGGCGGCGAGACAGCGCGGGGCGGTCGCTCTCTGCGGCTGAGCCAGCTGATTGGTCAGTGGCTGTCTTTGCCCCACTCCCCACACCGTCAAGTGACCGTCCTCGTCCACGCCCAGAGAGACGAAAATGTGGGAGCTCTTGAGGAAACTGATGGCTTGTACCTTGACCTTGTGGGGTAGATGGATAGATAGATAGATAGATAGATAGATAGATAGATAGATAGATAGATAGATAGATAAAGTGGAACTCGGTTTCAAAGAACTCGAATTCTACGAAAACTCGGATTCAACGAAAGGAGCAGGATTCCTCGTTTTATTTTATTTATAAAAATCAATAAAAAATAATTTGGGTCTAACGAACACATAAATCAACCAGCTCGGATTCAACAAAGTCCCTTGCAAGGTGAACTGCTTTATCAGACCAATCAGCAACCTCCTTTTATACCAACACAGAGGTTGTAATCACGCACCCATGTCTTATCGCCTGTCGGGGTCTGATGGGAGGCCAGTACACGTGTGACTGTGTGTCTGGGGGGAATGGGAGTAGGGGGTAAAAGCGATCTGAGCGTTGAACGTCAGTAGAAAAGTAAACGGGACACAATACTGATCAATATTACAGAGATAAACGTATCTTGACATAGCATAGATCTACATATTGAATTATTCACTGGACTGTGGAATTAAACGTTGCCGTATGCTAGGCTCTACACAGCAACGTAACTTGTTTGGCAAACAGTACGTTACAGCAAAGATGGTACATAACAAGATGTTTCACCCAGCCAAAAAAGTGTCTTCGGAAGTCGGCGCAATGGCTCAGATGGCGCTGTTGTCTTTGTTTTGAAGTTTCTCTAGAAGAAGAATAGGAATAGAACCCCCTTGTGTGAACAGATCAACTGCTGTTCATCAGTCGTTTCGGTTTGTTCAGTGCGGAGTTTAAGATGCTTTTTAAAAAAAAATGACCTCTCGCCTCTCATTCTTAAGTCCAATTAAACGAAGAAAACAGTCGCCTCCTCCTCGGAAAGAGGTTTTTTTTTTTTAAAAGCGTTCTTCCGAAATTTGAATTCTTATTTATTCAAAAACTTGTTAGTTTCACTTTGCTTTTCTTTCCACACAAGTAGGGTAACTCTGTTCGCAAAGGGGGCGCATTTGCGTAGAGGGCGCCACCGAATTTTGAGGACATTTTCTTAATTGGCTCAAAGAGAGAAGTGAACCCTCTTGTTATGTAGACTCTTTGGTTATAGCTGATGATAGATGGCACAGGCAAGTATTTGAACAAACCGACCCTTTTGCTCAGTGTGTGCTTTTGTAGACTTCAGTGTATTTTCAGGGAATTTTCCAGCAATTCTTTGATATCAAAGAAAAAAAAAATGCCTCTAACTCGAAAGCAAACTGCCTTTGATTGAGAAAATCGAATACATTATTCATTACTTGCTCGATGCCTGTAATTTTCTACACAGAAACCCCATATTTTTAATAACGAATACTCGGATTCAAAGAAATTAAAGACCAGGCCCGACGACTTCATTGAATGCTAGTTACACTATAGAGAGATAGATAGATTGACATACAGACAGACAGACAGACTGACAGACAGAGTGATAGACAGACAGACAGACAAAGGAGAGAGAGAGAGAGAGAGAGAGAGAGAGA